ATTGGGCTAGATTTCTCGGCCCAATCCGGATTTCCTCTCGGGTCTCGAATACTTGGTCCAAATGCCTCGTGATCCCAATTACCGAGCCCTTAATCACCGGCTCTCACCGATCTTGGGCTCCAAAAGCGGTCGTGTCCTTCTAGCTTCCGTAGTCGATTCAATAAAGCCCGGGAAAATGCTCCAAGAGTGCAATTTCCTGTAAAATACAACTAAAACTACGAAAACACTAGAACACACAAATTAGTAATAAAAGTGGCCCGAAAGAGCCAAAAACACTACTAATAACGACTTCGGGACGGGGATAAAACACTATATAAAATAGACATATCAATTAGAAGAAGATATCAGAATGATATCATTAACATACAATAAAATGTAAGCCATGTCAGACCCTTTCCAATAGATAAATAAAGAATTATCCCTCGTGCTGTTAGTAAAGTCAAGAGACAACACATAATCAGCAAACCACTTATAACAAGCCCTGAGTGCCTGCTTAAGTCCATAAAGTGACTTTATGCAAGGGAAAAACATAATTAGGATGAACCCGATCTCTGTAACCAACTGGTTGATGCATATAGACAGTTTCCTGCAATTCACCATGTAAGAAAGCATTTTTGACATCCAACTGATGTATAGGTCATGCCTTTGACAAAGAGAGACTAAGAACAGTATGGATTGTAGATTTGTAGCTGGTTTGACAACCGAACTAAAAGTCTCGCCACAATCGATGTCAATCTGTTTAATTTTACCATGAAAGATTTATGGAATGTTTTTCCTTGCTTTGTTATTCCTCTTCACAGAATATATATACAAAGACTTGAGCATAGTCCTAGGCTACAAACTAGGAAACCAACTATACTATACACGTATATCTAAGGCTATAAACTACAAGGATAATTATGAGAAATTATCTCCTTTGACTAACTAATATATACAATATATTTAACAAAAAGATCAGAAACGATAAATACAATGAAAATTGAATCAAACAACAATTCTAATTATGTAGAACTACAATCGCGAGTGAGAATTGAAATTGATGAATACCCTTGCCTCTTGAATCGCTATCCTCTGCAGCCTTCTTCTACAAGAGGGCCTTGCGATTTTTGATAGTTTTTGAATTGAACAAAATCCGATCAATTAATTAATTATCTTATCAGTTTATCATCATTTCAATGCTTCAAAATTCTATACTAGTCACTTGAAATTAAAAGTGATTGCCATAGTTTTTAAAATTTGATGACTGTAATTTATAAATTTAATTTTAATTATTAACAAAATTGAAAATTTGCTTCAAAAAAAAATTGAAAATTAGAAAATTAAATTAAAAATTTTCAAGAAATAATTAAATTACATGTAAAAAAAAAAGAAATAATTTTAAAAAAGAAATAATTATAAAACATTTAAAAATAATTTTAAAATCATTAAATATGGATTATTTGATTTTTTAAAAAATTATAATTGTCGTTTTTCAAACAATAACCATAGAATCATCCTTTAAGAATTAAAGAGATAGGGCTTTGAATTTCACTAATCTTTTTTAACGATAGAATTTATAAACCCCCTTTAAGGACAAGCTTTCTCCGATATAAAAAATAAATTAAATAAAAAAATAATCCTTAATTATTTAGAATGAATAAAAATTAAACACCAGCTCTTTTGGTTATGAAAGTTCAAACTTTGAAATAGATCTAGTTCACATTAATATATTATGAACCATTAATATTAGCGACACTATGTCGATTATGGTCGTTTTAGGTGAAAAAAAGTTATTACTATATGTTACTCCCTCTGTTTTTTATATGCATCAGTTTGACCGGTACATTTGTCGAGACACTACTTTGACCATTAATATCTTTAATTGTGTATTAGTAAAAATTGAAACAAAATTATATTATGAAACTAGACATTATGACAAATCTAATGATATATTATATAATAACATTTATTTATTTTTTATAGGTGAAAAAATTAAGTCAACCATGATATGTGAATAGTGCAATTTTCAAAGTGATGCATTAAAAAAAACGGAGGGAGTAAAATAAAAGACATTATATTATTATAAAAGATAGGTTATTTTTTTTATAATAAAAGTTTTAGGGCCTGTTCATATTTACTAAACTGAATTGATCTGATTAGAGCTGAACTGAACTTAACTGAATATTTTATAAGAGAGGAAAATTAGAAATTGAACTGAAATAAACTAATTAGAATTAAACTAAACTGAAATTAAATAAATATGAACATACAGTTAATAAAAGCATTATACTCTAAGTGAATATTTATTTTAAGTTAGTACCACAAGGGGACAAAGAGAGTAAAAACTATACTCGGTACGAATGATTGGTCCACAATTGACAAGCTAAGTTGTCCTAGACACACACATCTAGATCAAGCATTCTGGCCGATAAATATTCAATAATTTAAATTTAATTTATATTCTGGCACGATATTTTCATGTTTTCCAAAGGCTGTCTTATTGATCATTATTAGTTCATTACTTTTAGTACCTTCCCTCCTGAAATAAAATAAATATAAATAAATAAATTCCTTCAGTAATCATCAAATGACACAAGTATTGTGAACATTACGCCAAACATTCCTTCAGTTGTAAACACTATCCTTCCAAAAACCACCAAAACTTAACCACTTAAAAAAAATGAACATCCAAAGTGGAAACCTTGAACACTCAAAAGTGGTAGTGGTAATGGTACCACTACCAGCTCAAGGCCATCTCAACCAACTCCTTCACCTCTCTAACCTCATCACCACCTACGGAATCCCGGTCCATTACGCCGGTTCCACCTCCCACAATCGTCAAGTGAAGCTCCGGCTCAATGGGTGGGACTCAAAAACCTTAACAAAAGTTCATTTCGACGACTTCGAACTCCCTCCTTACAACTCACCACTTCCTAACATCGACCATCCTAACCCGTTCCCCGATCACTTGCGACCCCTTTTAGAGGCTACGATGCATCTTCGTCGGCCCATGTTTCAACTCATGGAACAACTCTCAGTGAAGTATAACCGAGTGGTTGTCATTTATGACTACAGTATGGCTTATATTGTTCAAGATATTAAGCTCATTCCGAATTGTGAATCGTATTGCTTTATTCCAACATGTGCTTTTACCTATTTTGCTTGTTTGTGGGAAAAGATGCCGAGGAAGTAAAACCCTTTCAGATAGACCCAAACGATATTCCAGAATGTACACCTTCTCAAGAGGGATGCAATTCAAAAGATTTGCAAGCATTCATGGCTAATCTCTCGAAATGTTTGGGGTTCGAATCGGGGTGGCTTTACAACACCTCGAGAGTGATTGACGAAAGATATGTCGAATTGATGGAGAAGCTATCTTCAGCAAAGGGAAATAATATAAAGCATTATGCCTTAGGGCCGTTTATTGTTGTTAAAGGCGAAAGCGGCAAAAATAGACATCAGTGCCTTAAATGGTTAGATGAACAAGAGAAGGGTTCAGTAATATACGAGTCTTTTGGATCGATAACATCATTGATTGATGATCAGATCGAAGAGTTGGCAAACGGGTTGGAAAGATGCGGAGAGAAGTTTATTTGGGTGGTTCGAAGAGCAGATCCAAATGATGTTTTTGCAGAAGCTGATAAATGGAAACAACCTCAACTTTCTGAAGGTTATGAAGAAAGAGTTAAAGACAGGGGTATGATAATTAAAGACTGGGCGCCGCAACTAGAGATCTTGGGTCATCCATCAGTTGGCGGGTTCATGAGTCATTGTGGTTGGAATTCATGTATGGAAAGTATTAGTATGGGCGTGCCAATTCTGGCCTGGCCTATACATTCCGATCAACCAAAGAATGCGGTTATGGTGAGCAATGTTAAGGATTGGTGTAATGGTGAGAGATTGGGAACGCCGTGGTGAGATTGTAAAGTCGAGTGCAATAATGAATGCAGTGAAAACATTGATGGTATCAGATGAAGGAAAGGAGATGAGGAAAAGGGCTAAAGATTTAGGCGAATCGGTTAGAAAATCAGTTGTTGAAGGTGGTGTTTCTTATTTAGAAAGGGAAACTTTTGTTGCCCATATTTCTAGATAATACTCTATCTTTTATTAATCTTTCTTAAATTGTTGTTGTGTGTACTTTATTTTAGTTCATTTAATTTGGATCCATCCAGTTAAAATTTTCAACTTTTGTATGATTACATTTTGAGAATTGTAGAGCCATGATAATTTTGGAGTAGAGGTGTAAAAGCACACCCGACTCGATCCGATCTGAAAAATATTCGATTCAGATTTGAACCTAATAATTTAGTATAACTTAACTTTAAAAATAGGTCTAACCCGACCCGACTTATATCAGGCTCGATCCGATCATTCGAATTGACACCCCTAATTTTAGTTAATAGTACTCACATTAACAATGAATGCTTCTTTTGGTCCCATTTAGTTGATAATAATACGAGTATCATTTTGAATGATTCCGTGTATTTTAGTTTAGGCTTATGTTTGAGGAAGTCCCGACGTGTGTGTCAGATGTTGTTGCTTTTGACTCTATGATTGAATAAATTGGTTTCGTGTTTTCCCGTCCAAAAAAAAAAAAAAGGCTATGTTTGATCATGTATTTTACCTAGTCTCAATTAATCAATTTAAGAGTTGAAATCAAATTAATTTTGGTTTAATTTGCTCCCAATCTTGTCAATTTCAATTTAAATTAATAACAATCTACTTTTTTTTTTTAACTAGATTTTTGATGCTCCTAGCTGGACTGCATATTATGGTATATGTATCATATATGCTCCTGGTGCATTATAGATATGTTTATACTCCATACAACAAGATGAAGAAACTGAAAATGAAACCAAAATTATAAACATACAAACAGAATACAAATATCACACTCGTCCTAGTGAACCAGAGAAATGCATTAGAAATTCTGAACCAAATAAAAAGGATTTTCTTCACTAATAAAGACAAATATAAGCGAAAGGCAACATAACAAATATTGGAAATACAGGGGAAACCACTTAAAACAGGACAATTGAACTATATATTAAAATTTTGCATTAAAATCTACTTCATTTTTTTTAGCTCTTTGAGCATTATCTAGTGATATGAGCAATAAAAGCATCCCTTTCTAAACTAGAAACACCACCTTTGGCAACTGATCCTCTAACAGCTTCGCCTAATTCTGCAGCTCTTTTCTTGATCCTTTTTCCTTCCTCTGAAGCCATCAATGTTTTCACTGCATTCTCTATTGTACTCGACTTTAAAATCTCACTACGATGTTTCCAATCTCTCACAATTACACCAGTTCTTAGCACATTACTCACCAAAAACGCGTTCTTTGGTTGATCGGAATGCATAGGCCATGCCAGAATCGGCACACCCATACTTATACTTTCCATACACGAATTCCATCCACAGTGACTCATAAACCCACCTGTTGATGGATGTGCTAATACTTCAAGTTGCGGCGCCCAATCTTTTACTACTATTCCTCTATCTTTTATTCTTTCTTCATAATTTGCAGGAAGTTGAGGCTTTTTCACTATATCACCTTCTACAAACACATTGTTTGAATCCGCTCTTCGGAGCACCCAAATAAACTTCTCCCCACATCTTTCCAACCCGTTTGCTAACTCTTCGATCTGATCATCTGTTAATGAGGTTGTCGAACCAAAAGACACATATATAACCGAACCCTTCTCTTGCTTGTCTAGCCATTTAAGGCACCAATTTCTGTTTTTGCCGCTTTCACTTATGATATCAACCGGATTTAAAGGTCCTAAAGCAAAGTACTTTATACGTTCCTTTGTCAAATATAGCTTCTCAACTAATTCAACATATTTTCCGTCAATTACTCTCGTGGAGTTGTAGAGCCAACCCGACTCAAAACCCAAGTACTTGGATTGATTCACCACAAACTCTAACATCTCTTTTGTAATGCATCCCTCTTGAGAAGGCATACAACCTGGAACATCATTCGGGTCTACTCGAAAGGGTTTTGCTTCCTCAGGTATGCCTTCCCACACACAAGTGAAATAGGAGAAAGCACATATTGGGTTAAAATTATACGATTCACCATTCGGAATGAGCTTAACATCTTGGACTACATAAGCCATACTATAGTCATGAATGACTACAACTCGATTATACTTGACCGAGAGTTGTTGCAAGAGATCTGACACGGGTTGTCGAAGATGCATAGAAGCCTCGAAAAGGGGTAATAAGTGTTGGGGAAAAGGGACCGAGAGGTCGGCATTTGGAGGGGTTGAATGATAAGGAGGAAGTTCAAAGTCATGGAAGTGAATTTTTATTAAGCTTTGTGAGTCCCAACCATTGAGTCGGAGCTTAACTTGACGGTTGTGGGAGGCAGAGCCGGCGTAATGGACCGGGATTCCGTAGGTGGTGATGACATGCGAGAGGTGGAGGAGTTGGTTGAGATGGCCTTGTGCTGGTAGTCAGTGGCGGACCCAGGAATTTCTGACCAGTGAGTCACAAACTCACAATCGATAACCAAATATGTAAAAAAAAAAATTTTTACCAAAATTCCCAAAAAAAATTATTTACAAGATCATCCAAATAGAAAATTGACAAGATTACAATACTAACTAACATTTAACAAGCTTAAAATTGACAAGACTAAAATTAACAAACTAATAATTTTTTTTTTTTTTTTTTTAAAAAAAAAAAAAGACTTAGAAATTTTTTTGGGCCCTGGTGAGTCATTTGACCCACCAGGCACAAGGCCAAGTCCGCCCCTGCTGGTAGTGGTAACATCACCACCACTACTTTAGGATTTTTGTTATCCATTTTTGAGTCATTTTTTTTTTTTTTTTTTTTTTTTTTTTTTTTTTGTGGTTGGCAAAAGTTGAAGTTCTTTAAGCCTTGTTTTTATGTATATATGTTGAAAACTTGCAGTGCGCACAAAGAAATTTATTTGAGTATTCAACTGCGAAATTGCCACTGAAGTGGCCTCAATTATGAGCCAAAAGTTTGATTAGCGTTGCTTTATTTGGGTTTGATTTGCTAGTATAATTAAAGTAATTCAACCACTTGTACACTAATGTTATCACTAAGTCAAATTTTGTTGAAAAAATAATGTATGCCAAAGTCACGTTTACTTGAATAATTCTAACTTTGTACCACGTCCAAAATTGGTGAATAAAATACTAAGATAGGGACTGTTACAAATTAAAATCATTTATTCATATTTAAGGACCAATTTAATCAAAAGTTAAGCGGATGATTGAGGCTCATGAATATGTTTTATAATCTATGCCCCTCACGCGGGTACCTTCGTGTCACGTTAGCCACGACACCATGTTAAAAGATCAATTCAACGGAAAACTTAAGCTTCTGGTTGAGGCCTAAAAATATATTTGGGTTAAAAACAATATCAAGATGAAGGTTATACTTAATGCATAAAAGATGTGGACTTGTAGAAATCCCACTATAATTGGTGGAACATTATCAAATCACAAAAGCGGTATCAAAGTATTTATATTATACTTCCTCCGTTTTCTTTTACTTGCAACACACCTTTTAGGCACGCAATTTTAGGAGATGATTAGTGAAGGTAAACGAGCTATTTTATCAATATAATTTTTACACGAAGATTAGAATAGGGTTAAGTATCATTTGTAAAAATTATAATGAATAATTTATCCGTTCACATTACATAAACCCGACCTCAAAACACGTGCCACAAGGCTGTGTTGCAAGTAAAAAGAAACGGAGGAAGTACTTGATAAAAATTTCAAATTGATGTACTAGACTTATTGCTTTTTTTTGGGCATGAATTCAGGCAGGCCGAGTTGGGCCTGTAAATCTGTAATGCCAAGCTTTTTCTACCATTTCAAATTTTATGACTCATGAATGTGAAAGTACCATACTTTTATTATTTAAAAAACATAGGTGTTTGTCTTTATGTTCGCCTAATGACTTCACTAAATGCGTCATTTGCAACATTAGTGTCCTTTGTGATCAGTTAGGCAATTTCTAACAAAACATGCCAAAACTTTGCTCTAAACTTTGCTCTAAACTAGGAGTATTGTACGAGATAGCGTCGACATCGTTAGAACTTATCCAGTAGAATAAGTTATAATGTTAGTTTTTCAGGCCAGTAATTAATTATATCGGCTTACTCTCCATAATGGCCTTCAGCACCACCACGTGGAGAGTTGCTTCTGACCAGGCAAGCACCTGCTGCCTATAAAGTCAACTTGCCATCTATGTCGATAGGCGACATCAGCTTGGTTATCTTCATATATATACCCAAGCATTATTTATTATTAAGGTACGATCTTTATCTCTCTCTCTCTCTCTCTCTCTCTAAAACACTATCTGATCTCCTTTCTTATTCTTCTCATCAAATTGCTAACTTTAGTATCAGAGCGGTTATCCCCGGATAATCTCCCGGGTTAAATTAGTTAATTTGTGTTGACTGTGCAGGTGCTTAATTGAAATGGATCCCAAGACTCACATCATCAGAGCTCACCCAGAACAAGCATTATTTGTACTATTACCTGCAATTGCATGCAACTGTCATTTGTAGGCTACTAGGCTAGATCTGAATGCATGTTGTCTATTCACTATCTATACTTACTATATATTAAAGTAATCACCAGAATTATCCCTTAAGTACACATGTCACATTCACAACAAAAATTTTCCCGCCCAAATATTTTTTAGCTTTTTTTTTAAATTTCTTTTTTTTCCCTTAAAAAATAACATGATAAAAAAAATTTAATGAAAAAAAACTTACAATAATTTATAAAATATTTTAAATAATGTATCTAACATGAGAATTTTAAAGATAGACATGATATGAATTCAAATTCAAAAATAAAAAATGTTACATATAAGCCATTTCATTTAAACTAACTCCATTTTAATTGAATTTTATTAATTTATTTATTTATTTTTATTTTCAAGTCTTATTATTATAAATCCGTGCATTTGTACGGGGATAAAACTAGTTAGATAAGATAAATTGAAGTATGTATGAGTAGGCAAGACTAACGATTATTAGGTTTTGTTCCAAAGAAATAAAACTGAAAGTAAGTCCAAAAGAACAAGTTATTAGTAGGATTTGATAGATTTAATTGGGTTATAATATTACTCCGTAATGTTAAGTATACAAATATAATTGAAGGATGAGTTGTTAAATATTTGAGGACTAATTCACCACACAACTTCAAAATTGGTTACATGTAAGACCAATAATTACTACTAAAGATTATTCCCCCGGCTATTTTTTTTAGAAAATTTGTGAAAAAGAACCTTTTAAAGTGGTCGACTTATTGTAAAAGAACCTTTTAAGTGAAAAGTTGTGAAAAATGACCTTTTAAGTTGTATTGTGTTTTTAGGGGGTAGTAGGGTGAGTTTCTTGGTGATCAATGCCGGAACTCCGACGTTGACTTTCACATATTAGTCACGTGAATTTTGGCCAAGTTTTGGCTGAGTCGAGTTCGAGTTGCTCGCAAGCTACTTAACTCAATTATCAACCCTAATTGAAGGTTTGAAACATAGGATCCGAATTTGTCATTATGTTTTGACTAATGACCTCACTGAATGCGTCATTTGCAATATTAGTGATCAGCTACATAAAATCATGCCAAAGTTTTGCCTAGTATGAAGCAAAGAATCGTCAAATTTGGTATATTGGTCAAATTTGGTATACTATTATCATATTTTTACTGAATTAACAAAGTGAATAAAATATTAATTTGTTGAGTAGATTTTAATTTCAATTTTGTCAATTCACCCGCATATATACAATCCATGATTGGATTTTGTTTCTACACTAAACAAAACCTACGTCTCGACAGTTTTCAAAGACAATAAGTATCCTCCCAAAATTTAACAATATCTATTAGGTTTGCAACAATTTTTATTTTTGTTTGTTTCATATATTCCCTCTAATTTTAAATATCTACTCTATTTCTTCATGCGCGGAGTTTTAGAAGAAACTTTAAAAAGTAATAAAATATGGAGATAGTGGGTAAGTGTAAAAATAATAAAATTTGTAAAAAAACAAAGTATTTGAGAGAATTGGAGGAAAGAAAATATGAAATTATAAAATAATCCGTATGATTTATGTTGGTCCATTATTTGAGAGAAATGAATTAAATATTTTAAAGTTTTTAAATAAGGAAATAGAGTAAGTATCTAAAAAAATGCCTTCCTTGCTCATGCGCTTCTTCTAGGCGCACTCGGATAATAAAGGCATGCACTGGGTTAATAAGGATACCATGCACCTTCCTCGCGGGTTGGGTGGCTTGGGCATTCGATGCGTGTCCTCCTTAAATAAAGCGTTGTTAATGAAACAGGTTTGGCGACTCTTTACCAACCCGCAGCTGCTAGTCTCTAAAGTTTTTGGTGCTCGAACATCCTTTCTTCCAACACCCCTGGTACTCGGCCCCTTTATTCTGGTCAGCATTCTTATGGCCTTCGGGGATTACTTAAGGCGGACACTCTATTGAAACAGGGTTCACTAGTAGAAAATATCAAAATGGCACCCCCTAATTGGCACCGGTTCGGTCCAAACCGGTGCCAAAAATGGCCTACAAAATTGGTGGGAAGCTAAACCAGAGTAAAAGGCACCGGTTCACTTCAAACCGGTGCCAAAAACATAAAGGCCACCGGTTTGAACCGGTGCCTTTTGAACCGGAGCCATTAAATATTAAAAAAAAAAAAACGGCCCTTTAAAACCCCCCCCAACCCTAACATATTCACTCCACTCACCTCCTCTCAGCCGTTTCTCTTTCTCTCTCCTCCTCTCATCCTCTTTCTCTCTCCTCTCCTCCTCTTTCTCGATCTCCTTCTCCTCCTCTTTCTCGATCTCCTTCTCCTCCTTCTATTTATCTTCCCTCATCCCCTTTTCCTTGGTTTCCTCCTCCCTCATCTCCTTATTCGAATTTAAAAGGTTTTTTTTTCGATTTTGATATATTTTTCTTCGAATTCTTGGTATTTGTTTTTCGATTTCATTTCTGGGTATTATTAATGTTTTTCGATTTTGATTCATTTTTCGATTATTATTTGTTTTTCAATTTCTGGGTATTTTTTCTTTTTTTTTTTTTAATTTTCTGGGTTTTTAACTAATTTTCGATTTTTATTTTTTTTTTATTTTTTTTAATTTTCTGGGTTTTAATTTTTTTCGATTTTCTGGGCTTTGATTTAATTTTTTCTTCATTTTCTGGATTTTCAACTCATTTTCGATTTTCTGGGTTTTAAATTTTCGATTTTTATTTTTTCGATTTTTTTTAATTTTCTGGGTTTTAAACTAATTTTCGATTTTAATTTTTTTTTGATTTTTTTTAATTTTCTAGGTTTTAATTTTTTTCGATTTTCTGGGTTTTAATTTAATTTTTTCTTCATTTTATGGATTTTCAACTAATTTTCGATTTTCATTTTTTCGATTTTCTGGGTTTTAAATTTTCGATTTTCTGGGTTTTAAATTATCAATTTTAATTTTTTCGGTTTTTTTTTTTATTTTCTGGGTTTTAAACTAATTTTCGATTTTATTTTTTTTTTAATTTTCTGGGTTTTAATTTTTTTCGATTTTCTGGGTTTTAATTTAATTTTTTCTTCATTTTCTGGATTTTCAACTAATTTTCGATTTTAATTTTTTCGATTTCTGGGTTTTAATTTTTTTCGATTTAAATTTTTTTCAATTTTTTTTTTTAATTTTCTGGGTTTTTAACTAATTTTTGTAGCTAATACATTTTAATTGATTTTTTTGGATGAACTAATTGGCGCAGGTATACTATTTTCTTTGCAAGCCCAGAATATTGCACATAATCGTAGAATCAAGAATCAAGAATTGTGATGTTTGGGGATTTTTTTTATTGTGATGTTGTAATATTTTATTTTTTGGTTATATTGTAGTTCTTTTTATTTATTAATATGTGGTAATTGTTTAATTTTATAATTCATATATTGTAATTTTTTTCTTGATTATATACTGTAAATTTTCGGTTATATTCAATGATATTTGATTAATATGTTGTTGTTCTTATTTATTTTAGTCAATTTGATTTTTAAGTGAAAAATGACAAACAAACAAAAAAAAAATATTTTTTGGGGCTTTTTGGCACCGGTTAAAGACTTTCAAATAATTTT